ATGAAACCTCCTGGCGCCCCACAGGCGCCGGCGCCAAAATACCCTAAATCACCAAATTCGCTGAAAACTTGTTCCCAAGGGTAGTCTGACCTCCTGAACACGAATATCACATTTGCTTGGCCCGAAACCTCCTGCTTGCGCTACAGCCGTTGGCGACAAAATACTCCAAATCACGGGCGCCTGTGGCGCGGGCGCCAAAAAGTTTCTGCCCAGCAAATGTAATATTCGTATTCCAGGGGTCAAAATACCCTAGGAGACAACATTTGAGCCGAATCTGTCCACGGAAAAAAGTCGGTCAGAAAGTGGCTCAATAAAGGGTAAATAGTGCTGAAAAATCTCTCCAAACGCTCCGAAATCTTGCAGTTTGCACTCTGAGAATTTCGTCAGCAGCTATACTCTGGGCGAGCCTTTGAAAGTAGAAATACAATTATCAGAAAATCAGCGTGACTTTCCACAGGAATAAGAGGGAGTAGATAAGTACAGGACACCCAATTTTTGGCACTGGTGTCTCCTCCCAGCTTCTGAGTTCTGTAACATTTGAAATATCCCGCCATTCTCATCCTCGTCGCGGAGAATTGAGACTCCCATTACAAAGTGCTTGCAGCTAGTTGCAGGCTGTTCGAATGGTGAGTGCGCAATCTGTGAATATTAGGGCCTTTGGACTTATCGGTGCGTCACACAGATTCGTACGTTGTTCACCTGCCATTTTGTTCTACAAGGAATGATAACGGTGCCGTCAGTGCAGTCTTCTTGCTTACCGCTATCACTGCGCAGCAGTTAATGGCAGCACGACTACTGTTGTGATCACGGAAGACAGAGGGAGCGTTTCAGCGCGGCGTGGGATTTGGCGCGCTACCAGCCTATTATCCAGCTTCTCACCAACTGTAAGTAACTCACCCACCCTGGAAAGGAATCAGTTCCGTCTACCGCAGAATACTTCTCTATTTATTCATTCATCACATAAAGCAGACTTATATGGATACACAAAATGACTGACAAAAGACAGGAGCACCACGCAGCAGCAACCAAATAACGTTTAACCACATCCTTGAAAACCTTGACACTATGAGGAAACGATATGTTCCTCTTGAGCCTGGAACAATTAGCGGCCCAGTATTGGAAAATGGCAACTCTAGCTGTGCTTAGCGCTATGCAGCCGACCGTCGGAAACAAGCAAATAGCGACAGAATATACACAAAATTTCATTTGATATAAAGCAATATTCACGGAAAACAGTGACCGGAGATAAGGCATTCGACGAGCATGGCAAAGCTTCTGCCTTTTGAAGAAAAGCGGTCACATCTTACCACTTCATACTGCGGTCAGTGGTTCCCGAAGGTTGCGCAATGAACGTGCTTGCTATGCCAAGTCTATAAATAGAGGGTAGCAATATCAAAATCAGATTGTTCATTATGATTAGACAGAGCGCCGCTATTTTTGTAGAGTGATCGAATGTTAGGTGACAGACATTGTGGACGACGTTCGAAGTTTTATTGCGTCTTTACGAGTTTGAAGGGCTGCATTGATTTGCAGGTGGCGGTATGGATACTAATGTCAGAGATATCGACATGTTCATTAGAGGCATTGGTAAATTGAGAGTCATTTCGAAATACAACATGGCTCAGACGTCGAAGTATTGGACGTCATCAAGAACGATTTCACTCAAGGAAAAGCCATGATCATGAAGGCGAGAGATAGAGAGAGAGAGGGAAGAATAGCGAATTCCGCCACGACGCGGGACTAACGCTAAGGAGAAGACGTTTAACCCATTCGCGACCAAGCGCCTTTCTCGAAAACGGCTCGCAAACGCAGTCCGAGCTCGCAGCAAGTGGACATGGTCCCACGTAACACCTTCAGCACTGTTCAACTTCCTGCTCCCGAAATCTCCTTTTTTACTGAACCATCGAGTGCAGGGTTATTCCTCAGGTCACAAAAATGACATTCGTCTGTCCTCCGGTGCCATTTGGCGCCAATGTGCGCTAATTTAGTGCTATAGTCTTTCCCTCGAAAACCCGTAAGCTTGCATATTGAGGTGATTTGACATACTGAGGTGGCTCAAAACCTCCTGGTTGCGAGGTTTTGAGCCGAGCGGAATTGGTACTCGTATTCGAAGGGTCCAACTCGAGAAACAATTGCTAAGTCAAGTCTATCCACATAGAAAGAAAGTTGGTCGAAAGTTGGCCTGGTAGGAACCGCGATCACTAATAAGACATTGGTTTTTATCTTTGCAGAGCGCTACATGGCATGAGCGCCATGTAGCGCTCTGAAAAGGCTGTAGCTTGGAGGAGGAGTGATTCCCTCCTCCTAAGGCAAGCTCAGCCTCAGCATCGCATTGATAACCCTTGTGCCCTACGCTAACGTTCCTGCTAAAAATGAATGTCATATCAATAATAAGGACAGCGAATAACCCTAGTATCCAAGTTCCCATCAATTTGGGTGGAAGAGGTGATAGCACCAAATTGGCGCCAGTTGGCGCTGGGACCTGTAGTGAACGTCATATTCGTGACCAGACCAACAAAAAGCCCTAGTATGTAACTTCTCCTGAGAGTTGGTGAAAAAGGTAGTGGTGAGTTGGCGCGGCACCATTCTGGCGCCCCGGTTTTGATGAAAAAAGTGGTGGCGCCAAATTGGCGCCTAATGGTGCCAAATGGCGTCAAACACCGCCGGCGCCAGAAACGGACGTCACATTCGTGATCGGGGCACTGAGTAACCCCTACCGGCAATTTTTCAGCAGGAATTTTTCTAGAGGTTTTGGGCTCAGGTGCTACTATTTGATTCAGGCCTGGAATCCCTTACATCTGGAGATCTTCCTGGTCCCCAACTTGTCTAAATATAAAAGGTATGAAGACTTGTACCACTGGGAAAAGTTCCTCGAAGAACTCGAACTGTTTCTAAAAATTTCATCAAAAGCCCGTCCGCCACATATGGTGGACATGGTCCGAAGTGGACATTTCGGTGTCCACCACCAGTGGCGGACATTGTCACGAATGGGTGTAAACGCAAACTGGATAGTCGGCCTTGATCAACTCCGTTTGTGTTACGCTCAACTTCCGTTGAAATCGTAGCACCATTCCATTAACCACATAACAGCATAATACACAGCATGTACGGCATAACATGGGATGACCAAACGTGTTTTATATTTCCGCCAGTCGGATCGCCTAGCCATCACCGGCGCTCCTCTTTCTTGTGTCACGATCCGACTTACGCCGGGGCGGTCTAACTTCGTCACGCGCTCTTCCCTTAGCCGAGTTAGAATGTGAAGATTGCGCCGAACCTTGAAATTGCATTTCTGAACTAAATGCAAAAAGAAAAGTTGGGAACAGCTTGTGTGTGTGTGAGTACGTAATAAAAACCTCACGCTAATCCCTGTCTTTCATCGTGATCTCCTCGGAAAGGCTGCACCATTCAATTACGACTGTTGCTGCGATATGAGAAGGGGTTAAAGTTGAATTAGTCCGGACGTGATGTGTAACGTACAACGTCGTGTTACCATAAAGAGCCAGTGGAGCCGTCAGTGGCATCGAAACAAAAAGACGAAAATCCAAGTAAGCTTCGTCGACGTCAAAAGGTGCTCCACACGGCGACTTTTCGGAACTCACTATGAACATGGGACTTCTGCAAAAGCTTCCTGATTATTAAATTTTCCCGTTTTTTCCCCTTCCAGCAGCGCCATATCGTACTCCCGCCGCCACACTCGCGCCTTTGATATCCATAACATTCATCATTACCTGTCGAAGTCCTACAGTTTGAGTGGTCGAATATCTATCTATACATACAACATATATCCTCCTATTCTTATCAATTGATATCGTTACTTGTCACCTGTCATAGATGTCCTATCTTTCTGAATTATGTTAGGCAGTGTGAAACCACACAGCGACGACAGCGCCACTTATTAGCCCCTATCAGTTGCTATCCTTCTTCGTCACCCACCATTTACGTTCCCATCCGACGCCCTATGCACCACTGAAGTAATCTCCCACTGTTGCTTGCAACTTCTACTCTCTACAAATTGCGGAACATTACGCAAGTGAGGTTTATAAAATCTTGTCAGTTTTAAACTTTCCTGCCACACATCATTGATGCTCCCATCACATCTGCTTATCTCTGGTTGGAGGAACCTCCAATTGCCGCTGCGGGCGCATTATTAGGTGACGCTTCAGTTCCAACTCCCCTTATCAGTCCCAGTCACTTGTTACCACGTCCTGTCACCCACCGATAATGTTCCTACAATTCCCTATTAAATATATCTGGAAATACCTTCCCTTATCGCTGGAACAGGTGCTATGAATTTCGTGATCCTTTCTATTCTAAAGGTCCTTATTAGGTCTTACCGGCCCCTATCACTTCCTGTCACCTACTAATAATGTTTCCGTTGAACCCCCTACATTACTTCTTCAAACCAACGCTCTGTTGTGTGGGAAGCGCGCTATGAGTTTCAGATGGACAAATAGCCAGACAGGAGACACACACTCTTTTACAGACATACTTAGCAGATTTATATGAGCAAGGGAGGATACCATTATCGTCGTCTCTGACGACGATCCCTTCCCTCATCGTCGTCTCACAGTCTGAGACGACGATCCCTCATTGAGTCCGCCCCCTACCTGATGCGGGGTCAAGCCAGGTAGGGGAATCATACTTCCTCAGTCATCCTCATCGAGTATACGTGGGTTCCGTTACATAAAGAGCTTATTACAACTTATTGTTCTTGTTCTTGCCTTGCTATTAAATAGACCACTGAACCACCCCCAACAACCATGTTGTCTGGTTTCCGTCTAAGGGCACGTGCGAAACGGAAACAAGGCTACTTCTTTGGAATCAATAATTCATAAATTCAAGACCGAAATTATAACACGTTTTTATATACTGATTTTTCATGATAATAATTAAAAACGATTATATCACATTTAAGTCACATAAATATATGGGATATCAGACTGCTACCAAGTAGCCTAATCAAAAGAAGGATGGCTCAGAGGCACGTGGAGATTCCGTCTAAGTTTCGAACTCTAAACCATGAGCGTGACAGAAGGTACCCCTAACCACTTCCTTTGCGCTCTAATAATATTCTTAGAATCATAGAGATATATTTATTGCTTCATTTAACAAATATATACACTAAGTGAAATTAGTGTCACATCAACCTGACCAAATAGTACTCAGCACATAGCTTGTATGATCCCATGCATATAATTATCCTTCTATTCTTGGACATTTGCCAAGTTGTCAATCAACGTCTCATAAATTTCGACTCCACGAAGAAAGACACGTTCGTTGAGGTACTCGTTATGATCGTGCAATAGTTGCGGAGTGTTTATCATCGGCGAGAAACCGATCGATCGATAGCCAAGCTGAAAAAAATCGATTTGGGTGCTCATTTCTTCAGTTTATTCGGAGGTACGCTCCGCGTCCATGTGATGTTCGAACATCTTCTCTGGA